GAAAGGAGATGGTGATAAGATTCTTATGATTCAATAGTGAGTAATTGTTTTCATGATTAATTGAGATTGCCACAACTATAAAAGTAGAAGTTTTGTAACATAAAGGGGGGAGTAGTTAATTCAACATTCCAGGAACAAACGACCCTAAGACCATCAAGGGAGAAGAGCATGAGTGGAATGTAGGACCCTATCCAGAGAAGCAGTGACACAAGAGATGGAGGCAGAGTTGATGACATGGAGAGATAGAGCAGTTGAGGACTCTAGACTCATTGAAAGAGAAAGGCTATGTGCTGGCGGCCAGGAGGCAGGATTGTAGAATGTGCCCTTTGGTTGTTTAAATGATTATATATTCCTGAGTGTTTTTGTGTACATCAAAAATAAATAAATAGAACAGAGGGAATAGAAGCAAATACTGTTGAATGATGATGCACGGAGGGGGATTGTATTCATTGCACTAAAAACGAAATACAATAGGATGAGTGCAAAACCGATGTGCTTCCATGTAAACTAGCACTCAATACACAATAAAAGCTTAAAAAAAGAAAAACTCCCAACAAAAAAATATCCCAGCCCAGATGGCTTTACCAATCATTCAGAGAAGGTTTGCCACCAATTTTACCCAAACTAGTCCAAAACACAGAAAAGGATCTAAAACTCCCAAACACATTTTATAAATCCAGTATAACCTTCATATCAAAAACCAAGCAAGGACATCACTAAAAAAGAAAATTATAGAGCCCTCATGAACATAGATGCAAAAATTCTCACCAAAATCCTAGCCAATAGAATTCAACAGCATAGTAAACCAAAACAAAATAAAACACATCATGACCAAGTAGAATTCATACCAGGGAGGCAAGGATGGTTCAATATTAGAAAAATAATCAACATAATCCACCATGTAAATAAATAAAAAGGAAAAGAGCCACATGATGATATCAATTCATGCAGACATGGCATTTGACAAAATCCGACATTCATTCTTGATAAATACACTGAACAAATTAGGAATTGAAGTGAAATTCCTTATCATAATTAAGAGCACATATAAAAATCAAGCAGTCAATATTATTCTCAATTGAGAGAAACTGAAAACATTCCCTTTGCAAGCAGGAACCACTCCTATTCAATATTGTGTTGGAAGTCTTAGCCAGAACTGTAAGAAAAGGAAGGGAAATTAAAGGCATCAAAATTGGCAAAGAAGAAATAAAACTCCTCTGTTTGCAGATGATACGATCCTATACATATGGCATCCCAAAGGCACAGAAAAAAAATTGTTGGAACACATTGAAAGATTCAGCAATGTGACAGGATACAAGATCAATATACAAAAATAAGTTGAATTCCTCTATACTAATAAAGACAGTTCTGAAAGGAAGTTATGAAAACAATGCCATTTACATTAGGGACCCAAAAGATAAAATACTTTGGAATATATCCAACTACAGAAACAAAAGACCTGTACAAAGAAAACTACAAAACGCTACTATAAGAAACTAAAAGAGATTTTCAAAAATAGAAGAATATACATGTTTAGGGATAGGAAGACTTAACATTGTGAAAATGTCAATACTACCCAAAGCAATCTATAGATATAACACAATCAATCCAGAATCCATCGTTCTTTAAAGAAATGGGGGAAATGATCACAAATTTTATATAGAGAGGAAAGAGATGCAAAAAAAAAAAAAAAGAAAAAAGAAAGAAAAGCGGTGCTTAGAAACAAGAACAAAGGCAGAGGCCCCTCACTCACTGATCTCTAAAATTACTGTACAGCCACAGTAGTCAAAACAGCATACATGATCAATGGAACAGAATTCAGAACCTAGAAGTGAATCCAATCACATATAGTCAATTGATCTTTGACAAAGGGCTAAAACACATTAAACAGTGACGAAAGAGTCTCTTAAACAAATGGCAAAAACCCAAAAAACCTGATTTCCAGTAGAATGAAACAAGACCCATACCTCACACCATATACAAAAACAAACTTAACATTGAGTAAAGACCTAAATGTAAAGCCTAAAACTATAAAGATCATCAATGAAAAAAATAGTGGCAAACTTAGGGGCTCTAATACTTACACTATGAAACATTGCAAAACACACACACACATACACACGGTAGAAGACAAAATAGATGATTGGGACCTCCTAAAACTTAAAAACTTAATGTGTATCTAAAGATTTCACCAAAAGAGTAAAAAGGGTGCCCACAGACTAGGAAAAACTTTTTGCAATGACATATCAGACAAGAAACAAATCTCTAAAATTTATAGAAAATTGTAACACCTCTACAAGAAAAAGACAAACAACCCAATTAAAAATGGGCACAGGACATGGATAGACACTTGACCAAAGAAGACATTCAGGCAGCCAACAAATGTATGAAGAAATGTTCACGATCATTAGCCATTGTTGTTAAATGCCATAGAGGCAGTTCTGACCCATAGAGACCCTGTATTGGGTTTCTGGGGAGCAGCTGGTGAGCTTGAACAACCGACCTTGTGGTTCAAACTAACTGTGCAGTCTAGTCCATTAACACCACAACTCCATCATTAGCCATTGTTGTTATTGTTGTTAAGTGCCATCAAGTTGATTCTGTATAGGGTTTCTGGGGAGCAGCTGGTGCGCTTGAACCACTGACTTTGCAGTTCAAATGACTTTGCAGTCTGACACATTAGCCCACAACGCCACACCAGGACTCCATTAGCCATTAGAGAGATGTAAATCAAAACAATAATGATATAGCATCTCACACCAGCTTTAACAGAAAAGTTTTTTTTTTTTTTTTTAAAGAAAATAATAAATGCTGGTGAAGGTGTAGAGAGACTGGGACCCTCTCACATTGCTGATGGAACTGGAAAATGGTTCAATCACTCTGGAAAATGGTATGGCACTTCCTCAGAAAGTTGGAAATAGAAATATCTTAAGATGCAGCAATCCTTCTACTTGAAATAGGATCCAGGACACAGGTATGCACATCAAACACTATTCACAATAGCAAAAGGTGGAGACAGACTAAGTGTCCAACAATGGAAGAATGGATAAACAAACTGTAATACATACACACAATGTAATACTATGCAACACTGAAGAATAAAGATGAATCTGCGAAACACCTCATAACATGGATGAACCTGGAGGACATTATGCTGAGTGAAATCAGTCAGTCATAAAAGGACAACTATTGTGTGAGACCATTATTGTAAAATCTTAAGAAAAGATTTTCATGCTAAAAGAAATATTTTTTGATGGTTACATGGGGTAAGAGGGAGGGGAGAGTTATTCACTGGTTACAGGATAGGTGCATGTTAGCTTGGGTGACAAGAATAAAGAGGGTAGCAGAAGAATGATGAAGATAGGTGAAGACACAGGGAGGTATGTATGCACTAAAGGGGATAGAGGTAAATAGTGATATAGACAAAACCTTAGAACAATAGTGTTTTGTGCATAGGTACATGGATTGAGAAATAGGCTGAATGTATAAGGGAGGAAGAGTGGGATCTATCTATCTATCTATCTATCTATCTATCTATCTATCTATCTGTCTGTCTGTCTGTCTGTCTGTCTGTCTGTCTGTCTATCTATCTATCTATCTATCTATCTATCTATCTGTCTGTCTGTCTGTCTGTCTGTCTGTCTGTCTGTCTATCTATCTATCTATCTATCTATCTATCTATCTATCTATCCATCCCACAAATATGAGGCTTTCTGCCCCTATAAAGATTTACAGCCTTGGAAACCCTCTACAGGGTCGCTATGAGTCGAAACCAACTTCACGACACACCGCCACCACCAGGAAGTTTTCATCATTTTGCCAGCTGTATGTCCCACCATATTAATAGTTGTGTTTGCAGGAAAGTTAAATACTCATGTATAAATATCACATTTCAAACTCATATATATTTGAGGTGTTTCACAGGTTCATCATTATTCTTCAGTGTTGCATAGTATTATTGTGTGTATGTTCCAAAGATTGTTTATCCATATTTCCATTGCTGAGCACTTAGGCTGTCTCCATCTTTTTGCTATTGTGAATAGTGTTTGATGAACATTGATGTGCATATAGCTACTTGTGTCTTGGATCCTATTTCTTAGATATTATCAAACATCTTAAGGCAATCCGTTGCTGGGCTTAGGTGCACAAGACCATAGACTCAGAGGATACTATGGTCAATGGGCATAATATAGTCCACAAAGACAATGTTCTACATCTTGCTTGGGTGAGTAACATCTGGAATCTTGAAAATTCATGAGTGTCCATCTAAGGTGCAGCTATTGGTTTCTCCATGTGTGGAAGAAAGAAGAGTGATAAGAACTGAAATCTTATCTTGGAATAAATTAGTCCAGTGGACTAATGGAATATGTGAACTCTACACACTGCTACCAAGTGCTCTGAAAGGGATCACATTAGAGGGTCCAGATAAAGTGGGAGAAAATGTGGAACAAAATTCAAAATTATTTAATAATAATAATAATAATAATAAAGACCAGTTTTACTGGTCAGAATGAGACTGGAGGTACCTGAGACTATGATCCTCACCACCATTCAGGTTTGTAATAAACTCACCTTCGTGGTATATAGGTATATAGGGGCCAAAACAACTCTAGCAAAATATGCTCACAATGGAATGATCAATCATTCAAATTCAAAAGAGCAACATTTTCCTAAGGACAAAGTTGAAGGGATAGGAAGGTATGTGGGATGCAAATAGAAACCACAGGGAGGAAACAGGATAACTTTTGCTGCATAGAGGGGATTGTAATCATTGAGATGAAACAAAATGTATGATTTGTTGAATGTAAAGCTGTAAACCTTCACTCCATTTACAATAAAAAGTTAAAGTAATAAAATAAACCATGGTGGGTAGGCAGGGGGAGAGATGAAATCTGGTCTCAGAATGCATGATTTTAATCACCAGGACCTGCTGAAAGAACAGAAGAAAGAATGAGTGTATGCATGGATGTATGAAGCAGTGAGTTCTAAAGAAGACTTACATAGTGATGTTGGAGCTAAAGCCAAGACGAGAAAGATCCAGGTCAAAGATGGCTTCTTTGGCCTCAGCATGTGGATTAAACAGGATTAAGGTGACCAAGGTGTGGACATAGTGTGATGTCACAGTGAATTTCACAGAATAGTTCATTATCAACACTGAGAGAGAAAACAGGGAAGTGAGTTAGGTAGACTCCATCCTTGGCCAAATGGGCTGATACTTGGGAACCCAAGATTCCTGGGTAGGTCTCAAGGTAAGGTGAGGAAACTTAAACCTAGAAAGGGAAAATGACCTTTGTCATCCATTTTGTAGACCTCACTAATATTTCAGTGAGCTTTATCAAATCTCAAAACTGAAGACTTAAAGAAGATCATGATACAAGGAACTTCTGGACAACTGCTTTTCCAGTTTTAATGTATGCATGAATCTCCTGGTGATCTTGTTAAAATGCAGATTTTGATTCAGCAAATATGGGATGAGGGTGGAGAGTCTGCACTTCTAGCTAGCTATCAGGAGAAATTGATACTGCTGGTCCACAGATTTCACTTTTAGTAGCAAGACTTTAGAATATAACAGGTAAGCTACCATATATTGAGCCATACTCTATGAAGGAGTTCTGGTAGGATAGTGGTTACTAGTTTGGCTGCTAACCTCAAGGTGAGTAGTTTGAAACTACCAGCTGTTCCAGGGGAGAAAGATGAGCCTTTCTGATCCCGTAAAGATTTACAGCCTCAGAAACCCTATACAGGGTTACTATGAGTCGGAATCGACTCCATGGCATATAATAAACCAACCAACTCTGTGATACTGTTTTCTTTTATAGGACCTCAGGTGTGTAGAACTGCACCTGATAAGTGTAGTTATGCACTGCAAACATGTTAAACATTTAGTATTTTATTTAATCCTCATGTCAGCCCTGTGAACTAGATACTATTATTTCCCACATTTTACTGAAGTGCAGAGACTCAGGACAAATAAAACATAAGATATGTATGAAGTCATATCCTTCCATCTACTCATACATAATGCACTTCTAGCTCATTCCCTGTGCAAAGCCATAGGAAATGAGGGCAATATGGATCAGATGGACCTGGGTTCAAATTTTCGTTCTGCCTCTTCCTATGACTTAACATCTGAGCCTCAGTTTCTTCCTCTATAGAATAACAGTTGGCCCTAGCTCATAGGGTTGCTGTGAGAAGTAAATGAAATAACTCTAAAACCCCTGGTACAACACCTGATATGTGGTCAATAAAAAGTAACTCTTTGACCTCAAAGCACAGATAAAACATACCAAATAAATTACCCCATGGTCCCCAAGGAGATAATTTTCTTACAAATCCAAGAGGTTTGTCCCCACATCCCAGAATTGACCTTTGCTTGATGAGGTGAGGCCAGGGGTTCCCTGGCATGTCAGTCCCAGGAGAATGGTCAACAAAAAGTTGACACAGATGAGGCATCTCTACTCATATATGATGTGACCTCTGATCTGGTTCTGTTTCTCACATCCAGAAGATTGAGCTCACTCTTCAACCCTTACTCTTTTAAACATCCAGGTATCACTTCTCTTGAGTGAGTGACCCCATCTGGAAGGGTGGGGAAGACTTTGAATGTGGCAATGAGACCCACATAAGGCAGAATTGTCCAAATAGTGGGACTGGAATCTTTCTTGGAGAGAGGCCAGTTACATGCTTCCATTTTCCTCTCATTCAGATGTAAGATGAATGGAAACTAAACATACCAGAGTTCTGGTTCTGTCTGTTTGTTATGTTGGCTCAGGGTGGGGTTCTTCTTTCCTATAAACATCCTTAGAAGCCCAGTGATGGGTCAAAGAAAGGTCACGTAGCATTGATCATCTTAAAATGGTAGTGAATATGAGAGAGGCTAGTGGAACAAGTCTCCAGTCCTAGTCCTGACTTTAGCTTAGACACAGGAAGGACTTATCCAATGTCCCATAAAATTTCAGATTTTCCCTTAGATGATACTATTTCCAGAAAAAGTCAGAGGCCAAGACAGGATGAGGGAGGGCTGAGAATATAATATATTGTTAAGTGCCATTGAGTCAGTTCTGACCCATAGTGACCTTGTATAGTGTTTCCTAGAAGCAACTGGTGAGCTTGAACTGCCAACCTTGTGGTTCAAACTGACTTTGCAGTCCAGGACATTAACTCACAGTGTCACATCAGGACTTCAAAATGCAAGCAGACATCAGAGGGACCCATGCCACCAAGAAAAAAGAGCTGGGAGCAAGTTTCATTCTTTAGAACCAGGGCCCCTGCACTGAAAACCTCCTCGACACAGGGAAAGATAGATACCAAGACACATGTAGAGATTCCAGACAAGATGGTGGACTAGGAAAATGGGCTATCTACAGCAAGGGCAGATTCAAAGATGGTCCTGGAACTCTGTGATTCAGATAAAGGAATAAATAAGTGAATTGAGTGCTACTGGGAGAGAGAGTCGAACAGACATAGCACGAAAGGAGGTGACATCTGATTTGGGGTGGCTGACGGGACTGGCTGCAGCCATATTGAGTGTGTGAACAGATTAAGAGACAAGAAAACATTCGTGTTGGAGAAGACTGCCAGTCAGTCACTCACAGAGACAAAGGTATGATTTTTTTTCTGTCTTTTACTCTCTGGTTCCTTGAACACTACTGGTGACCAGAGATGAGACCTCTATGAATGTACACCCCTGGGAAAGTACCACTTTCCAGGTGGGCTGAACTGCACAGACTGTGGTTGTGTGCACAATTGAAGGTGGAGTAGATAGCAGACGTAGCCTTGCTCCAACAGGCCCTGTTCCAAATCTGCAAAGTAGGCCCTGGGCTAGCTCTCTCTCGGAGAATTGGTGAACAGGCATGCAGGGTAGAGAAAAGGGGAAAGAAAAAGACTGGTTATAGATCAGAGAGACAGCACAGCGAGATCATCTTGAAATTTCTCAGGTGGTTGTGAAGGCAAAAGGTCAGTAGGTGGCCTAGAAGCATCCCACTTATTTTTCCACTGTTGTTTGCTGGCTTTTTTGTTTGTTTGTGTTCCTTCTCTCATGGCAAAGTGTTTTCTCTTTTTGCCTCACCCAATAGAAAATAGCAGTTGCAGCCATACAACCCCCAAACAGCCGTACCCTCTTCAGACTCACCAATTGGGCTAGAGTCAATACCAGCTGCTATACACCAGGTAGATGATAGCAACCAACATCAGCTAAATTCACCCTGAACTGAATTACATGAAGAACAAACAGAGAACAATACACAAACTAATCTTTTTTTTTTTTTTTTAAGTTTTTATTGTGAATTATGTGATAGTTTACATGGGAGAGCAAAGCTAATCTCCTGCATGCATCATCAAACAACCAAAGGGTACACCCCTCAAACCTGCCCCTTGACTGTCAGCACATAGCCCCTCTCCCTCCCTGAGTCTAAAGTCTCCAGCCACTCCATCTCTCCACATCATCGTCTCTGCCTCCATCTCTGGCATCACTGCTTATCTGGATAGTGTCCCACACTTTGCTTTTCTCCATTGACGGTTCCAGGGACCTCCACTCCTGGACTGCAAAATCTACCACTTCCTTCCTTTTGTTACAAAACGTCTACCTTTACCTTTCCAACACTCACAGTCAGTCCAGATAGCAATCATTCACTATATGAACCACAAGAGTCTTATCCCCATCTCCTTTCATCAGCCCTGTCCAGACAGGTTAAAAACCACTCAGTGGAGATTCTACCTTTCCCTGAACCTTCTGGAACTAGGTTCCCTATTAAAAGCATGTAAGCCAATCACTTCTTGCCTTTGTAGCGCTCCCCCACCCATGTTGGGTAGCCAGTGTCTAAGTTGCCTATCTTTGTTGACCCTGTGTACCAAGGGGATAGGAATGATCCTTGCTGTAAAGATTTGTTCCCTCCTTTAATCTGCTGCATCAACAAGCATAGTTCAAGTTGATCAAATTGTAACAGATTACTCTTTTTTTCTTCTTCTTTCTTCATCTAGTCAAGTTCTGATCATCCAGCCATTGAAGCCAGGTCAAGTGGGTACTATCTGCAAGTATGGGTGTTCTTGTGCATCTCCCTCACTTTGTACCAGCTGGACACTTCACACTCCGCTCTGGTCCTCTGTGGCCATGTCCCTGTCCCTGGGCCCAGGAGTCCCCAGGTCTCATCATACTGCTGGCCAACCAGGTCTCAATCCAGGTTAACAGGAGTCTGTTGAGTGTGGTTGGACTTAACTCACAACTTCATCGCTGTTTTTCCCCCACTTCTCCATATCAGTTACCAACATGGTTAGCAGCAAGCCCACATGCCTGCTCGAGTATTCCCCTTGAGTTTTAGTATTGGAAAAGGGTTTGACCTGAGGGGACCAGACCACTTGCCTTGATGGCACCTGGGGTAATGACTTGCTTTTTCTTGTAGTAGTCAATCAGACTGCCTTTATTGTTTTTTTATTTTTCCTGCTGCTATTTCTTTCAAGAAGTATCTTCTGTTCTTCTAGCTGCTCCAGGCTGGTCTGCTTGTCCTTTCAAGTAGAAATTCTCCATCTCAGAAGATTCTGAATGGGGATCAGGATTCTACCTATGGTCTTATGCAATGCAAAGGCTCCACAGGAAGCCTCCTTCACTGGGCAAGTTCTAGCCCCAGTTTCGATATTCCAATCAGTTATAGGCTGAAGATGGACTTACAAGATTTCTATGGTGATGTTTCTGACAATTCCTTTCTCTCCCCCTCAACTGTCTATTTTACAATAGTAGGTAAGGGAAACCAAGATTCAAAAGACAGCCATGCATCTTAACATTCTTTCCCCACTTTTACCCATTCAAACCATGCCTCAATCCTTGTATCCCAGAGCCCTGTTTTTCCAAAGTTGTGCTTACATCACTATTTACCTCTGTCTTATTTAGCCCATGCAAACCTGCCTAACTATTCTCCTATCCGCCTTGTTCTTCCTTTCCCCTCTCCCTTCTAGTGTATTTCCCCCCAGCACTCAAACTATCCTGTGTTCTCCACCTTCCCCTCCCACCCCATAAACCCTGGTAACCAGCAAATAATTTTCCCCTTTTTATTGTGGGCACTTTTTCTTATGCTTTAACAATACTGGTCCTATGTAATATTTCTCCTTTTGTGACTGACTGATTTCACTTAGCATAATATCTTCAAGGTTCATCCATATTATGCGGTGGCTTGAGGCTTCTTTGTTATTCTTCAAGGTAGCATAATATTCCATTATGTGTATATACCAAAGTTTGTTTATCCATTCTTCCATTGATGGGCCCTTAGGCTATCTCCATCTTTTTGCTATTGTAAATAATGCTGCTATGAACATTGTTGTGCATATATCTACTCATATTATGGCTCATATCTCTTGTGGATAAATATCAAGTAGAGGAATTGCAGGATCATAAGATATCTCTATTTCCAAACTTCTGAGGAAGTGCCATATATATTGTTTTCCAGAATGGTTGGATCTTTTTTTTTTTTTGTAAATTTTTTGTTGTTGCAATTTTGGGATTTTGCAGTCCCACCAGCAATGTAGAAGGTCCCAGTCTCTCTACATCCTCGCCAGTATTTATTGTGCTCCACTTTTTTTATCTTTGCTGTTATTGACGGTGTGAGATGATATCTCCTTGTTGTTTTGATTTACATCTCTCTAAATGGAGTCCTGGTGTGGCGCTGTGGGTTAATGCGCCAGACTGCAAAGCTGTTTGAACTGCAAGGTCGGTGGGGTTCAAGCTCACCAGCTGCTCCTTGGAAACCCTATACAGAGTCTCTATGGGTCAGAATTGACTCAACAGCACTTAACAACAACAACAATGGCTAGTGATCATGAACATTTCTTCATATTTTAATTGGCTGCCTGGATTTCCTCCTTGGTGAAGAGTCTGTTCATGTCCTATGCCCATTTTCAATTTGGGTAATTTGTCCTTTTCTTGTAGAGGTGTTGTAGGTTCCTACATACTTTAGAAATTAGTCCCTTGTATGAGGTATTGTTGCAAAAGATTTTTTACCATTATGTGGGCTACCGTTTTATTCTTTTGGTAAGGTCTTTTAATGCACATAAGTTTTTCATTTTTAGTATTTCCCAATCATCTATTTTGTCTACTTTTGACAAACTCATATTTTGATCGCACCCACCAGAAGGCAGTTGGTGAATGCCTAAGATGACACCAACATGCATTCATACAAATACAACACCAGCACAATGTACCTTTTTTTTTTTTTTTTTTTGTAGGAAAAAGCAGTACTGGAACAGCCTGAATAAGAGTACAGAAGAATGATATTTAGGTATCTCCAAACTATTGTTTAGACAATATCATTAATATCTCATTCAAGTACAATTTTGCTAAAGATAATATAAAAACAGTTACAAAAGTACATTGACAGGAAGAAAAAACAAGATGGCAGATGGGGTAGAAGTGCAGTGAGGATCTCTGTCAGCAACAACACAGAATACCGGACCAAGCAGGCTCAGGGGATGGTCCCAGAATTCCAAAGCACATATAAAGGAATATTTCGAAAATTTGAAGGCTTACAGCTAGTGGAATTTGTAGCAGAAGAAAGAAATCCAGTGCTTTCTAATCCAAGGCACTCAACTGCTCCCTGAGAGACCATCTTGGGTGAGACTGAGCAGGGGAAGATCAGAGCAGCCACGGATGCCTGACAGAATAATGGTGATAAAGGTGTGGACATCCTTTTTTGGTCTCTCGCTGTCTGTGCACCTCAATTGTGGTGACTGGAGGGGGTGCCTGAGCTAGTGGACATCCCACCCGTAGATGCATGTGCACAGATCTCCTCAAAATTTAAAGAGACAGTTTCTACTTAAAATCAAATGGCAGTGCAAAATGGCCAGCCCTGAACTGTTTGTCACTAGGAAAAAGGCCTGAATGAGGGTTATGGATCAGGACAGGCAGACTAAAAAAGGAAACAAGCTGAAAAGTTAATCCTGAGTTATGTCATAACGACCATCATCTTGAAATTTCTCAGGAAGGAAAATGAAAAGAGAAGCTCATCTACTGATCACATCTACCTGGAGGCAATCAGAAAGCATAAAAAATACCAAAACAATCACCCATCTAAGTATTAAGGCCACAATAACTCCTGAATATTCCCAAAAAACAGAAACAGATGACCATATCAGCACATATCCAGAAACGAGATAAAGTGACTGAGACAAATAAGCTGGAGGTAGACCTACACTGCATACTGGAAGGAGGCCAGGAATTCAGAAGGAATTCAGAAAAATGATTTTAAAAAGTATCAAAACATTTTACAATGGAGTTGAGAAAAATAAGGAAGAACTCAGGAAAGTGCTACAGGAACAATCAAATAAGATAGATGCAGCTCTGGAACAATTAAAAATCTACAGCAAGAGGTCCAAATGATTCATAATAGAATATCAGAAATGGACAATACACTGTAAGGGAAAAGGAGAAGAATTGAAGAGATGGAAGCCAGAACTAGTGAGCTGGAAGTCAAATCTCTCCATACTAATAATATAGAAGAACAAGTAGAAAAAAAAGATTAAAAATATCTGAAGAAGGTC